TTTCATGAAGCACAGAGGCATACTCTTCCAGCTTTTAAAAACAACAAACAAAAGATCTTCTGACCCCCGGCCACTCCAGGCTTACTGTGAGACTACTCAGACCGTCACACCGTCACACTCCCCTTTTACCACCAACCTACTCTAGCCTGTAACACTGTCAGCGTTACACATCCTTCCAGGTTACAGTGGGTACTCCTCACGCTGCTACCTGACCTGTCAGCAGCACTTTCTAACACTGGCCACCTTCTTCATGAACTACCACTTCCTCTGGCTTTTCAACCGACATTCATGATTTCCCATCTGCCATTCCTAAGTGTCTTTTACCCTTTCCTCATTCTTCAAATGACCCACTCCTCTATTAAGTACAGTTCCTAAGATCTGTCTGCCTATCTCTGTCCATGTATACTCATCCCATGCATGATTTCAAAAGCCATCTACATGCTAATATTCCAATTTTATTTCTTCAGCCCAGAGCTCTCCTGCGTTCCACTTGCAAACACTTAATTGATCTGACATATGGATTAAGACTTCTGAAATGCAACATCCTAAAATATGAACTCTTGACCTCCCCCAGCCTCAAACATTTCCTTCCCTCCTAGTTCAGCATTACTCTCAGTCCTCCAGCTGCTCAGATCAGGAAACAGCATCAGAGCCAGACATGGTAGAGCAAGTCCGTGTTCCCAGCATGTAGAAAGCCGAGATGGGCGATCACAATTTGAGGCCACCAGTGGCTACATAGTAAGACCTGGTCTGTTCACTGAAAGGGATTTCCAATCACCATGGAAACTCCCTATGTGTGTGTGGGAGCATCCAGATTAGCTAAATGTGGGTGGTACCATTCCATTGGCTAGGGCTGGGGCTGAATAAAGGACAGAGGAAGCTGAATATGCATTCCTTGATCTCTCCTTCCTGGCTCTAGAGATGTCACTAGCCACCTCAAACTCCTTCCACCATGAATGACTTTCTGCTATGAAGGACTATACCCAGGAAATAGAGCCCAAAACTAACTCTTTTCTACTTAGGTTGCTTTTGTAAGGTATTTTATCACAGTAACAAGACAGGTAAATGTTTACGCTAAACCCCCCCCCCCACACACACACACAGAGAAAATCAAAACAGAATCTTCCAATGGAAGTTAAATTATAAGTGACATTTTTGTCTTCATGTTTTTGAATGGTTTAAAATTTCCCATTATAAACTCATTGTGCTTATAAATTAAATCAAAATGAGAAGAACTTCTTGATAAGATAGTGAATATCTTAGTTTAATTTGCTGGTATGATAAAACACCCCAATGACAATCTGGGGGAGAAAAAGTTTATTCTAGCTCACAATTCCAGGCCACAGTCCATCAGTGTTCGAAAGCTGCTGTGGCAGATTTATGACATCCTGTCCCATATCAACCACAGTCAAGAACAGGGAGAAACGGATGCATGCCTGCTTAGCGCTCAGCTTGCTTTCTCTCCTCAGACAGTTCAGAGCCCAGCCCATGAAATGGTACCATCCATATTTAGGGTGGCTCTTCCACCTCCAATAACTCAACATAAAAAAAACTCCTCATAGGAATGACCAAAGACCAACCTAATCCAGACCCTTTCCAGGTGATTCTTGCTTGTGTCAAGCTGACAGGCAAAATTAACCACTGCTGTCAATGAGAAGCTGCCTCTGTGCAACCTAGAAAGCTGACTTCTAAGAGAAAACCAGCTAAAGAGAAGAAGGAGGAGGAGGAAGAGAAGCAGCAGCCGCCGCCGCCACCAAGCTGATGTGAGACAGTCATGGAGAAGCAGCCAGGAGTGGTGCTAGCAGGTGCCCGGCTACACCACAGTGCTCATCTGCACTGGAGTCAGGGACAGCTTGTAGGAGACGCTTCCTTCCCTGAACATGGGCGCGGTAATTTACAGTGATCTGGAGGAACACTGGGCAGGTTGCAGAGACATGATCAGGGGCTAAACATGCTATGTATAGATGAAAAGATAGCTGGGGCTGAGTGGGCCCCATAAATGAAGGCAGAGGTGGGACAGGAGCCTGAAGATGCTATTGTACACCTCAGAGAATTGCCTGAGAAGGGACCACCTCCGCCATTGCCTCAGGCGGTGTCAGAGAGCATGAAGAGGTGTACTGAACATCTGTCTACCAGGCGTGAGCAAATCTGCCAGCCAAACAAAGACACCTAGCCCCAAAGGTAAATCCAACCAGCCAGGCCTTCCACGCTCTCCAGCGCTCCCTCTACACAGAATTCCATGTGGGAAGTGTGACCCCAAAATACGAGAGATGAAGTAGGTAACTGGCAGTGAGAGCTGTGGGGCTCGGCCTGGGGAAGTCTGGGAGGAACATGAGTCCCACACAGCAGGAAGAACACAACAACTTAACATGTACGGATACCTGAAATTAACAGCCCTCCCCGCAGCGGCAGAGACTACCAGGAGAAACACTCAAGAAAGGAGGAGAAACCGCATACACCCAAGAAGATATACTGAGGTCACAGTATCTCCTACTGCATTTTATTTATTTTTAGTTGTTTGGGGTTTTTGTTTGTTTGTTTTTGGTACTTTTCTACTTGGCTTGTTCTAGTTTCCTTTTGCTGTGATTAAAAAAAAAAAAATGTCCTGACAGAAAGAACTTTAAGGGAAAAGGTGTTTATTCAGCTTACAAATCCCATTATGATCTATCACTATGGGAAAAGGCAGGAAAAGAACTTGAAGCTGCCAGCCACAGCCACAGTCGAGAAGGGACAGAACAAATGCCTGTGTTCCTTGTGCTCAGCTCATTCCCTCCATTGATACAGTCCAAGATTCCCAAACACGGGGAATGATGTCGCCACCGTGGGCCAGGTCTTCTCCCATTAATGCAGTCAAGACAATCCCTCACTGAGACTCTCTTCCCAAGTAGGCTGAGATTTTGTCAGGCTGATGATTAAAACCATCATATTTGCTCTGTTTTGGCTTATAATTTGCCTAAGCATGACTTCTAGGGCTCCCAGTTTGTGTTAAGGAGTGACTTTTTAAAATTGACTGTTGCTGTATTTCTACACTGGGCCTATCACCCACTGGTTGTGGTGGCTTCTGAAGACAGCGTTCTAGTTGTGTAACAGCACGCAGGTCATGTGTGGTGTCCTGAACACCTGGGGATCTTAATTATAGAGCTATATACCTCCAGTCTACTGGACATATTTGGATGGGTTTGCACAAAACCTGTAGATTGCCTTTGCTAGTACACACATTTTAACTGTGTTGATTCTGCCACCCCACGAGTGAGATGTTTCTACTTTTTATCTTCATCTTTAATTTCTTAAGAGCTTTAAACTTTGTACCATAGAAGCCTTTTTGTTTGTTTGTTTGTTTGTTTGAAGCTATTATGAGTGTGACTGCTTTGCTTCCCTGATTTCTCTCTGAGCATGCTCACTGTTTATATAAAGAAAAACTACAGAGGTTTTTATCCTGTTACTTTGCTGAATGCTTACCATCTTTAACGGTTTTCTCATGAAATCTTTAGGGTCTCTTATCATCTACAAATTAGCATAATGTGAGTTGTTTCTTACTTGTATCCCTTTCAGTTCTCACGTGGTATTTCTCTAAGACTGAATTAACTATTGAATAAGAGTAGAGAAAGTGAATATACACTTTTGGGTATATGCCTAAAGAACTCTGAGTTAACATGCCACAGAAATACCTGTGTGTGATGGCTATTCTTGGTTGTCAACTTGACTACATCTGGAATTAACCAAAATCCAAAGAGGAGGACACACCAGTGAGAGATTTCTGCTTAACTTGAAGGAGGAAGAGCCACTTCTAATCCAGAATTTAAGGCAGAAACACACATGCCTTTAATCTGTGTCTGGTATCAGAAAGACACATTTTTTTTTTGTTTTGTTTTTGTTTTTGTTTTAATCTGGGCCAGATCTTCTCCTGGAAGCCTACATAAGGAGGAAGCTTTTGCTTTTTGCCTGCTGGCCTTTGTCTTTTTAGCCCATTCACTTCTTACTGGAATTAGAGTCTGCTTCCTTGGAATTCCAACATATACTAAAGACCAGCTGAGACATCCAGTCTCATGGACTGAGGAACTTCTGGATTCTTGAACTTTCCATTCAGAGCCAGCCACTGTTGGATTATGTGAATCACAGCCTGTAAGTCATTCAAATAAACACCATACACACACACACACACACACACACACATATGTATGTATACACACACATACATGTGCATATACACATATATTCATGTATGTATATTTGCATACACAAGTACATATATGTATATATATACACACACAAATATATGTAAGTTCTGTTACTCTAGGAAACCCTAACACGATACTTATGTTTCCTGCAGCACTATTTAAAAACACAAAGTTATGCCATTATCCTAGATGTCCATCAACAGAAAAACGGGTAAAGAAAATATGATATATAATACAATAGAGTTTTAGTCTACCATAAAAATAAAATTGTTGTTACCTGGAAAATGGGTGCAACTAGAGATCATCATATTAAAATGAAATAAGGCAGACATAGAAAGACTCATTTTCTTTAATTTGCAGGTCCTAGAATTCTTCATAGATACATATGCCGCCAACACACAACAACACAACAAAACTCTCACATCTGGAACTCAGATGTGTGTTGGTGGGGGGCCGTTGGTACAGGACATGAAACTGGAAGGGGGACCATGAGAGGAAATGCACAGACCTTAAGCGGAGAAAAGTAAGGAAAAAGAGAAAGTTAAAGAACACATGTGACATGAACGCAGATGAGAGCTGTGAGGTGAGGAAGGGAACCAGCAAGAGGGAGAGGGGAAGATGACAAGTCAGGACCAAATGTGTAAGGAATACTATAATAAAACCTGTTACTTTGTATATTAACAGTTTTTTAAATTTAAAGCTTTTCTTTTAAATAATGAGATGCAAAGTCATGTTTAAATACAATGTACAATCTGTCTTAATAACAGTGTTCTTGATTTTAGTTTTGTGAATGTCTACTAAAAATATTAACTTTCACATTACCAGAAGTGTTGGGATTTACTGAAGACATCATAGAATCCGCTTCTATCTGGAAAAGAAGAATAAGAGGACGTGAAATTTTATTAGATGTTTCAAAGTACAAGTTCTAAATTCCCAGGGTAAGGAAAGACATGTATTTTATGGGAAGCCAACTTTATTGAACCTAGTAAAGAATAACCTCAGTTGACACTGTGATGGTTGTTTTTCTTGTTCGTTAACACCTACAACAAATACTAATCTGCCAGGGGAACCCCAAAACTTCATTCTACTGACCACTAACTAAAATAGATGAAGGCAGTTTGGCTGTCTTTCATATAGATTATAACCTAAAATAAAACCTTTCTGATATATATATGTGTGTGTGTGTGTGTGTGTGTGTGTGTGTCTGTGTATGTGTAAAGTAGTTGTTACAATAGCTTCATTTTTCAGTTAACAGAGGAGCATTTCCCTCCCATTGGTTATAGGGGCTTTATTTGTAAGCAGTAAGGAAGCTGAGCCTTGACAGTAAAACAATTTTTTTTTCTGGTACTAATCTTGACTCTTACATAATCTTGAGTCCCCTGCTTCCTCGAGTCCCTTCCCAATGGTTCCCAGTCCATCTTTGTCATGAGCTCCCTGCCCATTGTTAAAGGCAGCTGTCCCCAAAGCTTTCCCTCGAACTGGCACTGTTCACATCCATATCCTATGGCACGCCATTTGGTCTTACAATTTGAGCTACCCCTAATAAACTGAACCCCATATCTTCTTCCAGCTCCCCACCTCTCTACCCAAATGCTGTTCCTATATTCCTATATTTGAGAGAAGCCCTCAAAACTCCATACAGGACTCCATACAGGACCTCAAAACTCCATACAGAACTAGCTGCATTGTCTTCCTCTGTGGAGTGGCCTGTATGGAGTTTTGAGGTCCTATCTCGTAAACACAGGAACAGCATTTGGGTAGAGAGGTGGGGGGGGGGGCTGGAAGAAGATATGGGGCTCAGTTTATTAGGGGTAGCTCAAATTGTAATGATGAGACCTGATAGACTAGGGTCAGAGGAAAGAGGAGGAGGACCTCCGCTATCAGTGGACTTGGGGAGGGGCATGGGAGAAAATGAGGGAAGAAGGGAGGGGGCTACAGCTGGGATACAACATGAATAAACTATAATTTATAAGTAAATAAATAAAAGAATTGCTTATCTAGATCAGGACTTCCAACATGGATCCCAGAACAAAAAGATAACGTGGAAAAGAGCCCAACTCAACCTAGAACTTTGTACACAGACAGGAAATAAACCTCGTGTTATAAAACATAAAAAAATAAATAAATAAATAACCTCCAACCTCCATACAGTGTCTAACAATCAAATGTACAGGGAACACCTGTAGCTACCTGACACTCAATTTGCCCTCATCTCAACTGACACCCCTGAACCCATTTCCCTCTGAATTCTCTCCTCCTTGGTGATGCCACCACTCTTTTTCTACCAGCACATCCAGACAGGGCATAGCTTGTCTTACTGCCACAAAGGGCTCCCAGATGCTCCACAGTACATTAGTCAGGTTTCTCCAGTCTAGATGACGCCTACTATAGCTGCCCACCCACCTGGCTCCTTCTTCCTATTTGGTAAATGTCTTCTCTAGCTTGATGTACATCAGCTTCCTAAGAGCTATACAAAAAGAAAATTACTTCAAAGTAGAAACCGTGCTTATTCAACTTTGCATCCCCAGCAGCTAGCAAATACTCCTTTTATTAAACAGATTTGACAATGGATTGTGTAAACATTAAAGTATAAATGACTTCCTGTATAAGTCTTCTGTGAACTACTATTGCAGTGTCATGGTTGCTCAAAATAACAATTTGCAGTTAATTCTTCAAAATACAGTTTCTCTGATAGGAATTTTTTATATGCCTTGTTTAATTTGCTGACTTATAACCAGCATTTTATGTGTTCAAAAACAATATTAAAAATTAAACTCCAGCTGGGAACATTGCCTGTAATCCTAGCACTCAGGGAGGCAGGCAGATCTCTGTGAGTTCGAGGCCAGCCTTGTCTACAAGGCAAGTCTAGGATAGCCAAGGCTACAAAGAAAAACCTTGTCTTGAAAAACTGAGAGAGAGAGAAATCAAACTCCAGCACTGAACCTAGCATAAAATTTGAAATACAAGAAGGTATTTCATTTCCTATCTGATAAAAGTTCCTCTTTGGTAAAATGCCAGACAAGTGTATAGGTGATTTGCTAAGGTTGTACTTGATTGTTTAATGACCTGTAACCAGTTAAATATCATTTTCCTAAAAAATAAAATGAGAGGGCCAGTAAGGTGTCTCAGCATATATAAAAAAGCACTTTCTATCATGCCTGGTAACCTGAGTTAGTCCTGGGACTCACATTCTCAAAAGAAAGAACAGACTCTCATAAGCTCTTCTCTGACCTCCACAAAGGCCCCCATATATGCCCAGCCACATAAATAAATTTTTAAAAAGATAAGAAGAAAACAGTAAACTCAATATGTAAAAGTTGCCAAATTTCATCACGTGTACGTACATTACCACACTACTGTACCTGTCATTCAATTCTCCACGTGGCCTAAGTTAAACAAATACTCAAGGTAGATAAGCAAAATGAGATAAGCTATCCTTCCAGGTGATCCCAGGTCAAAGGCAATGCTTCAAAACATTCAGCCTTTACAGGCCATCTGCCTTCGATGGTGGTAAAATGATTCCAGGTTAGCAGAAACAGCTGCCATTTCAGAGCCAGACCAGGCTAGCACTCTGACTGAACTCATAACTGTGTGTGTGTGTGTGTGTGTGTTGGGGGTGGGGGCAGAATATATTTACTGTGGAGTTGCGGTGCAGTCTGGTACACTGATGGGTACAGAAATGGGATATCACAAAGTCTCTAGCTATCCTGACTCATGAGGAGCAGGAGAGCGCTGTCAAGTTTTGGGGGAAGGGGCAAGCATTCTAGGCAGACTTGAGTGATCCTTCTGCTTGATGGTGGCACTTTACTCTTTTGTATTTGGACAGTCTTGACTCTGATTAGTTCCAGTTCAGTAGCTTAACAAGGATGGATCCATTTGTAGACTGCTTATAACAGGCAGGCAGAACAGCACAAAGACAGGGCTAAGGAGGAAACTATTCCACTAAAATAGAAGGTTCATTGGGGTTCAGCTGTGATCTGATTACCCAGGAAGCTTACAGCCTTTTCTGGAGAGTAACGGCCACACATTTCAGATACGCCCTCCAAGGCTCAGGGAACGTTGCAGAAGAAGCAGGGTGGGAAGAAAGAATCAGAGGAGGTGGGGGTAGAGATAAGCAGTGCTGACCTCTGGGCATGATATGGTTTCTGCACCACTGACTTCAGAACAGCTGTGATTACTTACACACGCTTGGGCCTGTCAACGCCCTGCCAGGGAAGGCAGAGGGGTTCATAGGAAGCCCCCAGCCCTGAGGATTTACACAGAGTTAACAGTTGATATGGGAGGGAGACACATTCTTCAGTGGTGTAGACCCTGGTAAGGTGCCCACGTTCTTGTAAACAACTCTAGTGAAACTCACTGGGCCACAATCTATCTGCATTCTTTCTTCCTGCCTACCTGTGCCTGCCTGTCTGTCTGTCTGTCTAGCTATCTCTTTCTCAATAAAGAGAAAAAGAAAGGTAATAAAAAAATTTTCAAAAAATCCTGAGACTTATCTTAGGAATTATATTTCTAGCAATCTTGGTATTTTGGTTTGTTTGTCATTGTTCTAAAATGTTGTCTTGTCATGTAGCCCAAATTGACCCTGAGCTCCTGATCTTTTTGCTCATGCTCCCAAGTAGTACAATTACATATCTATGATTAATACACACATACACACACACACACACACACACACACACACACGTGTGTGTGTGTTCCACAAAGGCATAACCTGTGTGTGTATGTGTATGTGTGTGTGTATATAAAAGGATGCTCACTGCAACAGTGCTTTCAGGTACTGAAATGAATTCAAACAATAACAAAAGGTAAACTGGCTAAAGAGAATACTATACAACTATTTTTTTTAAGGTGGTAATGGTGTATGCTTTGGGATTGCTGCTAAGTGGAAAATGTATGTCAAAATAAGATAGCATGAAAATATTTTCAGTAGAAGATTTGCCTATACACGTATGTAGAATAATAAAGAAGCTGGTTAACTACTGGTAAGTGGGACTCTAGTCTAGAGGAAAGTGAAGGGATTTTGTGGACTGTATGAATTTACTACTTCTACCAATTAAACAAAGCCACCCATAAATTCTACTATACATATCAGCTAGTGGGTAAATTTCTCCTATTTTAATGCAACGTCCCTCCCAGCCTTCCCTCTCTACCATTCCATATTTTTTAATAAATTATAAGAGGCTCGTGGCGACGTTTTGTTAACTCCATAGGTATAGATATCCAATTCGTGTCTGTTTGGATTTGGGGGTGGGGGGATTCGGCATTGGAGACTCCTTAGAAACGGCTTAGTAGTCAGAGCTTTGCCCTGACAGGCAGCAGAAGTACTCCAGGCCGATTTTCTTAGGATTCCTTTCTAGAGCATTGTCTGCCCCATCCAAAGAAGGGAGAAGAGGAAGGCAGAAAAGAGAGGAAGGAAGAGGAGAGCGAAGCGGACGAGGGGAAGAGAGAAAAGGTTCTAACCTTGGAGGGTTTGTACCCAAACAGCATTACTATCGCAACCTTAAAGTCCTCTCGGCTTAGGTAGCCTTTGTTGTCTTCGTCACATGCTTTAAATACCTAAGGAATATTAAACACCTACAGTTAGTAAGCCAGAAACCCCCAACACGAACATCTAAAACTCCACCTGGTCGTGGAGCTTTTAAAATGCAACATAAACGCTGATTAAGATTTTTTTCCCCGTCCCCTGTCCCCAAAGTTTAAGAGACTTGATCTCTAGGGTGACAAATCGATTCCTATAAACCACTTCGGAAGGTGGTGCTAGCGGGGTGGGAGGAGAGACGCGAGCGCAGGTGGGGAGCCGAGGGCGGTGCGGCGGGCGGGGAAGCGACACGGCCCTGCGGCCAGGCCCGGGAGGGAGACCCAGGAGCAGCGTCAGAAGCGACCCCAGCCGTGCTCAAGTCCGAACTCGGGCTCCCACACCTACTTCCACCCACTTCCTGCGTTCTGCGGCGCTGGCTTCGCACGGCCGCGGCCGGGCGCCTACGTCGGACAGGAACGTCGCCATGACCAACCACGCCGACCCCGAGCCATCACACGACACCCCGGCTCCGGCGGGGCACCGCACAGCCCACCGCGGCCGCGCCCGCCGCCCCCTGCGGCGGGGAGGACTCAACTTGGCCGCGCAACTCCAACGTCTCCTCCCATTGGCCAGCCTCCGAGCCGCTGACGTTGATCTCGCGCCGTCATTGGTCAGGGGCGCTGTTTAACAGCGGGGCGGGGCTCCCGGGGCCCGCCCCCAGCTCTTGGTCCCGCCCCTTCTCAGTTTCCCTGGCTCCTCGGACGCCGCTGAGGGAGACGCTGTCTTAACAGGCCCCGGTTGTTTCCCGGCGCTCAGGCTCTCTACCAAAGCTGCAGTAAACTCCCTTCGGTCATTTTGACCCACGTCTTTGCTAGACCTGGTGGGGGACGCCAGGAGAGTGCAAAGAAAGCACACACGCACAGTGAGTGAATTGTAAATCAATTGACCTTTGATGGCCTCTCAGGGGAGCGACTGTGTTTATTTCCGCCCTCGCGCTCACCCGGGGCACTTAACGCCGTGCCCAGGACGACTAAGCGCAATGACCCCGTTAGAGCGTTTACACTGAATTACCCAGCCCCCGGGAAGCGATGCCCGCCGTGAGGCTGAGAGGAGGCCCGTGGACCGGAGCCTCGTTCTCCAGACCCGCTTAAGGTCGCACCCCTCGACCCCCCGCCGCACGTCAGGGAGATTGGCAGGAACACGCCCGTCTCGGGGGAGAGACAGTCACTCGAGGTTCCGCGTCTCGTGGGAGCTCATTTCACTTTTTATCCCGCCTTTCGCTTCAGCTCTCCTTCCTCCCGAAGCACGCCGCGGCCTCGGCCCTCACAGCCTGGAGGCCGCCGGAGAGCATCCCCAGAAAGCGGGTGCTGTTTGTTAAGCAACTAGGAGAGAAGCCACTGGACGCTTTCCGTTTCTCCCTCCGCAGGGAGAGTGACGGGAGCCAGGTCCCCCCCAAAGCTCCACGCATTCCCTTCCCATTATGCTCCCGCGAGTCGGGCGTTCTTTAGGACCCGGAGGCGGAAAGGGGACGCTCCCCGCTGGCCGGGCAGAGGCGCCAGCGCGTTTGAACTGCGCGCATGCGCGGACGTGCGGCGGGGCGGGGTCTCGGCGGCGGCGGACGCGCTGGGCAGGTAAGGTGTCTCCGCGCCCGCCCTCCCGATGGCGGCGCCCAGGTTGCGAGCTGAGAGTGGAGGGGTTCGGTGCGGACCGCGAGGAGAACGGCGAGGCGGGGGTCCTCGGGCGGGGTCTCCTCCGCCCTGAACCCCGGATCCTGCGGTCTGGGCCCCCGGGGCGCGCTGCAGAGGCACCCCCTCCTTCCGCTGGCCGTCGCTTTCTCCACGGGCCGGGCTCCGAACCCCTGTGCCCTAAGTTTCCACACCAGGGGGACGGCCGTGAAAGAGGGTTGTCTTGAGGGGGAAGTGAGTCTGGGCAGAGCTGAGCGCCTGGGGAAAGTTGGCAGCGTCACCACTTGCTTACTGTACCCCCAAACTACCCACTGCTCCTTGACCGTCTTCTTCTGCACCCCACATCCCAGCCCCTGCCACGTGTTCACGGAGTTATACTGGCTGTAATCGTTCTGAAAGGCTAAACGGTCAAGCACTCCTCTTATAAACACGCGGTGGGAGTCCCATTATTTTTAGAATAAAATTCGCCTGTTAGCAGCCTTGCCTCATCCCAACCCTCTCTTCCTAAACCTTAATTCCTAGAGCCTAGTTACCACCTGAACTTCTACAGTGTGGATTCCATCTGCCTGGAATGTTGCTTACCTGTCTTTTAGCCCGCTGATTCCTTCTCAGAATCTCACACGCTACTCCAGAAATGATTCCAAGGAAGGGTTATCCCTGTAAAATGTAATGAGCATCTGTGGTCGTCCTGACTTTTAGATTTTTTTAATGTGTTAATTTGTGCCTACGATAGAAACTATATTGTTAACACTTTCTTTTCAGTTCTTAATTCTGCTTACTCCTGGGCTCAGAGGAAGGACCTCCATGGAGGAGTCTTGGTGCCTAGGTCTTAAAGGCCTGAGGAGCAATGTATATGTAGAAGAAATACCGCATAGGGTAGGCTCAGCTTGGGGTAGAGGAAGCAAAGTCCTAAATGGAGTGCTTTTTTGCATAACTTTGTGTCCCCTCACCACTCTCCCCACCCCAGGGGTGTGGGTGTGTGTCTACACATGTAGTTGTGGAGTGTCTTCCTCCATTGCTCTCTGTTCTGGTCAGTCATGCTCTCCCACCGAACCTGAAGATGGCAGTGTCTTCCTTATGCTGGCTATTGAACTCTAGGCCCTGCATGTCTCCACCACAAAGTTGGGGTTGCAGACATAGGGATCACACTAGGCTTTTAGGTGGGTGATGGGGATTGGAACTCGTGGCAAACCCTCTTACCCACTGAGTCAAAACTCTAGCCCTCCATGGACATTTTTTTTTTAAGTTGTTAATAAAACTTCTGGTGACGTTCTGAGTTGCTGTCTGGTGAAAAAATTTCCTAAGATTTTTGTCTTTCCTCCTGGTGCAAAGTTTGACAAATTTCATTGCCTCACCTTGCCTCTCTAGTTTTTATTTATTCTCTGCACACATGTCCTATTATTTGCTCAATATTTATTTGATTCCACTCCTGTGTAAGTAAATACTTTTACAAAGTAGACTTTATTTTGCTTTTGTGGCTGTAATGGAGCCATGTTACCGGTGCTTGCAGAAGAATCCAGGGCCCACTGTAGCTCAACAGCAAAAAGCGCTGCATTTTTTCTGAACACTCCAGCTTTCTCCTTGATGTAAGCAGAGATGGAATTGGAATGGGAAGGGGGCTCGCTGTGGTCAGTCAATGGCAGGCCCCAGTTGTCTCCTGGCAAGAAACACTGCTGCTTTTCATCTGGACTGACCCTTCGGTGGTATCTATATCGTACTTCTCATTCTTTTTGTGTCGCTTACTGCAACTGTGGCTTTGGACTTATGCCATAGTAGGCACTGCCTGGTGAAATGGAAGATAAACCACCGAAAGAAAGCCATTAAGAGGCTGTAAGGACAGCCTTGGTTCCGAAAGCTCCTGGCGTTCAGGGAGGATAGTCTTGTATGTGGAGCAGTGAAATCTGACGCTGACCAGATCCAGTCCTCCAAATTAGAAGTCGTTTCCTGTGTGGTCTTGACATTTACAATACAGTAGCCCCTCTTCCACAGGACAAGGACCTTGTTTTCTTAATGAGGTTGGTAGCCTGGTGGACAGAATGACAAGGTACAATTTCATTAGTATGTCACAAAGGCTATTTGCCTTCAGTGATAAACAGACCTCCAACATAGTTTTGAATGTCAGCAGTCTCCAAACTTAAACTATATGGAAAGCCTAGGCCAAACAAAGGGTTTTGTTAGCTGAGAAATGTCTTTTTCAAAGCACTGTTTGGGTACATTTTGCCAACTCAGTTCACATTACTGGTAGAGATGCTACCCACCCAACCCCCCATAGGGTTCTAGAAAAATATAGATCACACTAAAAGCCTCAGAAATTGTCTGAAGGGTTTAGAGTCACCAGCGACTTTGCTCAGAGCTCCCAGGGTTCCAGGCTTTCGGTTTATTGGTACAGGCCATGGTCCTTGTATTCAGCTGGGGACAGACGATGGGGGGTCTCTTCGGATTCCATAAACCGTGCTCCTTGCAGCAGCCAGCATCTGAATGGTAAAGGTCCACGCGGTATCTGGAAGGACAACGCACAAGTGTGTGAAATATTTCATATATTGGGAAGGGGGGAAAAGCCTGTGGTGTACACCCATAACCCCAGCACTGTAGAAGGGGGAGCAAGAGGGTGGGTGTTGTAAGCAAATCTGGACCACAAAGCAAGATTCTATCTGGAAAAAAATAAACAAGAGTTTACAAACGGCTCCTTTCTCAGACTGGAAGCAGAACCATTTTGCTTCCCAAATTCTAAGACCTGCTCTTCGCTTTAGAATGGAGTATAAATGTAGGAATTTCCAGTATTTGATTTCTTGCATTATTGTTATTTGTTTGTTAGTTTGTTTTTAAGCAGTGCTGGGAATGGAGCCCCCACATCAGTCTGAGTAGTTTTAAGGGTTTGTTTTTTGGTTTTGTGTGTGTTTGCATGTGTGTTCATGTTTTTTGTGTGCTTGCATGTGTGTAATGTTCATGTCTCTGTGGGTGCTGCACACGTGCAGGTGGTGGCCAGAAGACCACCCAGGTGTCATTACTCAGCCTGCCCTATTTATGATCGGGGTTTTTACATTTTAATTTAAAAAATTAAATTACCAAAAAGAGTACCAAGTCATTTACAAACAAAGTGTGTGCTTTAGTAGAATCCCCCCCCCCCCCCCACACACACACACACTACTGGTCTCCTCTTGGTTTTCAGGTGACATCTTTTTGGCCTTCCCTCATGTTACCTCACCAACGCTTTTTACCCTCTCTTCATCTCCTTTCTAGTTTTTTTAGGTACATTTTCATCCAGTTACACACACACAGAAAAAAAAATTCACCTACATTCATCTGAGAGACAACACATGGCTTTGCCTTTTCTGAGCTTGAATCACCTCATTTAGTATAATATTGCCATATCTATCCATTTCCTGAAATTTTCATAATTTTTTTCAGCTAAGTACAATTTCACTATATCTGGCACATCTTAATTAATCATTCATCTACTGGTGGGTATCTAGGCCGGTTCCATTTCTTTGCTATTGCCAATAGAGCAGCAGGTAAGTATGGCCTGTGGTGGTTTTTTTGTTGTTGTTGTTTTGGTTTTTGTTGTTGTTGTTTGCACTGGTTGGTGTCACTGGCTGGAAATTAACAAGGAGGATAGGTTGGCTGGCCACTGAACCTCAGGGATCTACCCATCCCTGGATATCCAGTCTCTGCTTCCCTAACACTGAGAGAGACCCCAGCTAGAGAGTGGCTCAGCAGTTAGGAGTATGTTCCGCTCTGTATAGAGGCCTGGATTCAGTTCACAGCATCCCTGTCTGGGTAGCTTACAGCTACCTAGAACTCTAACTTCAGGGGATCCAAGGCCCCCTTCTGGCCTCCTGGGGTATTTACACTCCTTGTAGACACAGGCATTCATATAATTTTCAAAAAATTTATTGACTTAGTTTTGAAACAGAGTCTTACTATGTAGTTCATGCTAGCCTCAAGTTTACTATGTTATCCAAGCTAGCCACAAACTCAAGATCCTTTTGCCTCAGCATTGAGGTTTTAGGGGTGAGCTACCATACCCAGCCTGAGAACTCAGTTTTGCTTTGCTTTGTTTGTTTGTTTGTTTGTTTCAAGGTAGGGTTTCTCTGTGTAGTTTTGGCTGTCCTGTACTCTCTTTGTAGACCAGGCTGGCCTCAAATTCACAGAGATCTGCCTGCCTCTCCTCCCCATGTCCTGGGCTTACTACAGGAGTGCACCATTGCAATCGGTGCCTGAAAACTCTTAATTGAAGATTCTGTTATTAAGTCCCTTACTGTGCTGATCTAGAATCTAAGGAAGCTAGAACTATATCATCCAGAGTTTTCTTTTTTCTTACTTGGTTCTTTTAAATTCATAAGATTAGTCCTTTCAGAGCAAATTGGGTCTACTTAAAGTAGGTCTATCCACCAACCTCTAGAGTTTAGAATAAGGGTTGTGAGTTAAAATAAAAAAACATGCAAGCAAGTTAAAAAACAACAACAACACAACTCCTTTAAGGTTTTGTGTCACAAACTGCCCTCTTCCCAGTACACTGGGCACAGTGTGGTTAGCTGCTTTCTTTACCCTTGGAGATTAAAAACTACCTAAGGAAAATACCTAAGCCAAATTCCCACAGCCTCTAGACATGATTTAGACATCATAGAAACTAACACAAAACGTTAGAAAGCAGATTGGAGGCCTATACACATATGGAGCCTACGGTCGTCTGTTACTGCAGGAGCAGGTGACACCGCTCACTCACAGCCTCGCACTCTGGCCGTCAGGTGGTGTCCAGGGCAGCTGAATTAAGTGTGGCAGTGAGCTATGAAGGATATGCCTTGTGCTGTCTGTAAGGGCTCATTGGAATGCAGGATTACAAAGAGGCCTTGTGTGGACAACTGGAATTGACTGAAGACGTTGGTTAAGGTGGAAATTGTATTAAGTGATTGATACCTTAAAAACGTTTTGGGTTTTTATTTGCTGGTTTGTTGGGGGTTTTGTTTTGTTTTTCTATTTGTTTTTTTGTTGTTGTTTATTTTTAGCTTGAAAGTGCATGTGTATAAGCATATGTATAACATATAAGATCAAGCTTTCCTATCTGTGGGTTTGGGATATTTATTTATTTATTTATTTATTTATTTATTTATTTATTTATTTATTTATTT